TGTGGTAATGAGCCTGCACTCTTCTCCCAGCTACCAGTGACTTTCCTTTTCCTTTTTCTGCCCTTTTATTTCTAATTCCTTCTGGAAGTTTTTGCTTCCTGGCACCCATTTCTCTGTGGCCTAAGTGGTTTCCAGCATAGTTAATAGATTGCATGTTCTATTTTACTTTCTTTGCCGTGGTTAGGTCCTTTTCATCTCATAGGATCCTGTAACAACTACACAAAACTCTTCATATAATAACTCACAACTGAACTGCAGCTGCCTCTGCGGTGGAACACTGAAATATGTACAACTGAAGTGCAGAGCACAGGATGTAAAGGACACCAGATATGTCTGGAATGCCTGGGAATTTGTACTTTCTTCCCTCTGCTTTCATTACCCTCATTTATTGGTAGGTCTTCTTTTCTCCCAAACCCACACTCGCTTGCTTTCTCTCTGCTACCCTTCTCCCTCTCGGAGAGCAGATATTGGGTCAAACCTTAGAATGATAGGTTTGGTTTTTGCTTTTCTGCAGGAAATATTTCATCAAAATTGGAACTTTTCCCTGGGAACAATTTTTTTTTGTAATGAAATTTTGTTTCAGCCACTATTGAGGTCCCATTTGGACCCTGCTGAGTAGATACAGATGGAGAATGTTTGTTTCATGAGAACTCTCATGACTGATACCACCATAAGAAGTTAAAAGGGGAGGATGAATTTTTTATAAAGAATAATTTCAGATCAGTAAAAGCCAAAAGACCATCTCCTCGCTTTGCAAATTATTTCCAAAATATGCCTTCATCCTGTTTTGTACTGATGATAAACTGAAGCACTGGAGGTTTTATCTGCAAGTAGTGCTACATTTTCAACAGGTCCAATAATGCTGAAGCTGTTACCAGCTATTAATTTTGTGCATCTATCTGGGTTTTGTTTGTCTGGATGTCTTACAAAATTGTCCAGGTTTAAGCAAATTGATTTTGTGTGCACTTGTGCAAAGCCTGCTGTGTACCAAGTTTAGTGTGACCTGGCTTAAATCAGTAATAGCTAAAGAAGGTGCATTTGCCTCAGCAAAATGCATTGTTCTTTGTCTTGTTCTTTTCCTGTGCTGTGGGAGCAGCTCCTGCAGCCTCCTGTGAGCTGCACCTTGAGAATCAAACTGAAGGAGAGGTTGGCTGCTGTCAGCAGAGCCTTAAGTCCCTCACTCCTCACACGTGGTGTGTGTATGGTGTTCAGCTCCCAACTCAGAACTATAAATACTCCCAAGTTTGCTATTTGGACCAAAATTGCTTCCCTCTACACCTCCCCTGGGCACTGCTGTTGCCTAAATTCTGCAGTTTCCTCCCTGCTACAGGTCACCATAGCCACATCTTCCTTCTTTCCCTTCATGGGCTCTGTAGCAGTGATCAGTTTGGGGTTTGCTTTTTCCCTCTGTAGTTGTGCTGCCCTAGTGATGAACACTGTTGGAAGCTGCTGCAGAGCAAGGTCTGGATCCATGTTTGAGCTCGGTAGGCTGAGCCAGTTGTAAGGAAGCACGATCCCCCTGCAGTTACAGCACATCCACAGCTCCAATACCACTGAGTGAAAAACATTCATCATACTGTCTTCTGCTGGTCCAGGTGCTGAGAAGAGAGGCCAGTGTAGCTGGCATGTATCACCCTAGGACATGATTGATGGTCCTGTCTACTTCCTTTGCTTTCTGCCTTCTCACCATTTTGCCCCTTACTTTAGTTTCTTGCTTAGTTACTGAGAGCACTGGGAGAGGAGATGTTGCAGGGCTCTCTCAGCAGGAGAGGGTAATTTTTTTGATAATTTGGCTCTGAAGAAAAGGCCTATTTCTCCCTCTCTGTTCTTGTCCATCCTCTCCTTCTTGTACACAATAATTAGATTTTTAAAAAACAGAGAATCCCGCACCTCCTGCCCCTGGATCCAGATGCAGCTGGTTAGTTTACTTTTCATTAGGGATTTTGAATTTGATAAAAGTCAAGAACTCTTCCAGAAGCCTTGCTTGAAGCAAGCACCATTTAAGGTTAGTGAAATCAGGACACAACCTTCCCTTGATTTTAGAAGATGGCAGTGGCAGAGCAGATTCCAGCCCTAAGATTTTTTGCTCAGCCTCCCTGCACAATTGCTGGGGATTCAGAGGCAGGAACCTGGCCAGACAACACAACCACATCCCCTGGCTGTGGCTGCACAGGGAGCACTTTATGAGCATCAGGCAGAACTGAGCTCCACACCTGGGCTGGTGCTGCTGCTCTGCAGCCCTGCAGAGCTCTGTGCCTTTGCAGTCATGGGCCTGGCCCTTCAAATACCATCTGGGACTGGCCAGACAGACCTGACTGCAGGACAGTGGAGGGGGCAGCATCACCAGATGTCACTTATCAGCCTCCCAAGCATCTGTAAAACTAAGGTCTAGGTTTCCAGCCTTGTCACCAGAGGCTCTCGTTACCCCCATCACTGGGCAGCAGCCTCCTGCCAACTCCAGCTGGTCCCGTTGCCACAATAGCATCCAAAGGCCAGCCAGGGAAGATTGCACAACTAGGCCTTGATCTGTATTTTCCACTGCTCAGCCAGCAAACCCCTCCTTTTTTCCAGCACAGCTGTTTTCCATCTCTGCTCAGGAAACATGCCCTGTTTTTGATTCCTGGGTCTTGCTTTATGAAGCAATCATGGGCAGGCTGTCTGGGTGGAACGGGTCACGAAGTGGCGGTGGGATAACTCTGGATTCTGAACGCCAACACAGAACAAAGGGGAGCTTTGCCAAGGCTCAGGTGAGCCTGGGGTCAGCACACAGACAGGCTACTGACGTAAGCACGAACGCAGGGCTTGCTTTCTCTGAGCTGTGGTGTTTGAAATCCCCCCTCCCTTTTCCTCTCCTGCCTGCTTGCCACAGCCTTTTCCTGGTGAAATCCACATTTCAGTAACAACGGCGGGTGGATGGCTGATGGGGTCACTTTTTTTGCCACATCTTACTCACGCAAAACTCCTGGACCAAGGTGGCTGTCCCTTCATAAGCCACCAGCCTGTACAGCTCGGTTCATAAGCTGCCAGTCTGCCCTATTCAAGTAATTTTGGGTGAAGTATCAGCACACACAGCTGCTGTTGGTAATGTGTAGCCCTGCTGTTAAAGACACAGCCCACGGCGCAAGCAGAGGGTGGTGGGGTGGCAGACAGGGCTGGAAGCCCAGGATACAGTGCAGACCCGGATGTGGTCCACTCAGGAACACCAGCAGCCAGAAACACCCTGGCATTGCACTTCTTGGCTCTCTCCCCAAAACACTGGAAATTAGCCAGCTCCCTGGCCATATTGACCTGGAAGTTAGCTAGCTTCCTCAAGGGTTAAGGCATTAATGTTAACACCAACTATATTAACTAAAAATAATATGTGTGCAAAAACGTCTGAGTTACAGCTGTTACAGGAGTCCTGCCTTGGCTTTTCTGAGTCCTTCACCTGTGACGTGTGGTCCTTTCCAGCAAAGCCCTATGAAATGCCTTTCAGGCTGAAGTGGGTGGAAGGGGCACTTATGATGGACAGACCTGGAGCGTGCTCTGGAGCAGGCTTTGACATCACCAAGGGCAGAACAAATGGTGGAGGACACTGACCACTTTTTCTTTTTTTTTTCCCCTTGAGGGGCTGAGCTAAAAACTAGCTGGGCATGGTCATCAAACTGCCTGGCTGTGCCTCTAGGTAGAGGAAACACACAGAAAAAGAGAAGGGAAGCAGAGTTGCAGCTCCGTTTCTTTTACAAATTTACATCCATCGGTTCCTGGCCACTCCAACTGATTTAAGAGTGTCCACACAAAGGACTTATTGCCATTTGAGGAAGTATTCAAAAATCACTTAATTGAATCATTGCTGTCATCACACGAGCCACAGCCTGCAGCAGCAGCAGTTCACATGTGGGCAATAATAGGGAATCTTCCACTACAGCTACTTCTTTGCTTTTAGTGGGAGTCTTTGTTCCAGGGCTGGGGGTGCAGGTGGGAACTGGAGGAGGGGAAGGAAAGCCAGCAGGCTGGGATGTCTCTGCAGTGCATTACAGACCTACCCACCAGGCGGATGGAGCCGGCTCTTCCAGTCTCGGGACTCACACAGACCATGCAATAGCAGTTTGGGATGGGTACAAACCCTGGCAGCAGGGAGAGATGTCAGTCCTTGCTGTAAGCTCAGCCCTAGCCTGGCTTCAAGCCATTCCTGGCAGTGGTGAGGTGTCAATATGCCAGGGCTTGTCACACTCTCACAGTGCACTCTGACAGGGTCTGTGAGGTTCCTCCTGGGCTTTGCTTTATATGTGTACACACAACACAGTCTATGTTGTCCTGCCTCCTGCCCTTGAAAGCAAAGGTCAGAGGGATCTCCATTATTTTAAAGAGCATTTAGCTTAATCTTCTGAGCTCCTTACAAGATGGGTATCTTTCAAACCTCCTGACCACTGTGAATGTTTCCTACAGAGGCATATTAACTTCCCTTGGTTTGGCTGGAGTGCCTGCCTACTCTCATTACACTTTTGTCCTGCACAGTACTGTTCTGCAAGGTATCATACTACAGAAGACCTCTGACTACAAAGTCCAGACCCGTTCCTGGTCCCCAGCAAAACTGTAATACAAGTAAAACAACAATTTTCAGATGGAAAGGTAGCCCAGTAGTGGCTCGTGCATGGTCTCGGGGGCACATCCTCCCAGCAGCGTGGCCCTTTCACACCCTAGGAACCAGTGAAGCAACATTCTTGAGCAACAAAGGGAAGCATGACACAGTGGCACATAAAATGAACTTGTTAAACTTCTTCCACTGCCATATTATTTCTGCTGGGCTCTGATTAACCTTATCTCCAATGCCAGTACCTTACCTTTACCTTCATCCCCATTCATTTTTACATTTTCTTGTGCACAAACCACAGTTAAGGAAGTTTAGGGAAAATAAAGACTTGCTTTGTTTTGATGCCAAAGGTAAATGTTGTTCTTTTTTCCCCCTTTCATTTTATTTTAATCTAAACAAGAGATGACATACCTTTTCAAAAGCAGCTTTCCTGGCGTGGCTTGTGTCCTGAAAACATAGACAACTGGAAGTTCCAGTGCTTGTGAGCAGCTGTAGATCAGTCTGTAGATGTTTTTGCTGCACTCGGGGAGGTGGGAGGTAGAAGGTGGGCTGGATTCCATGCTCAGTGGCTTCAGTCTTCCCTAGAAATGACAATACATGAAAGCATCAGCATCTTGAACAGCCTCCCTCAACATCTCAGTAGTTGACTCTACTGAGATATTCAGAAAGGTGATGCTTTGACAATGAGGTCTCAAATCATGCAGTGTACCAGTAAAGGTGAGAAATCTCTTAATACTGCAAGAACAACAGTGCCAGAAGCACATATCAAATCAAATAAACAGACCTAGTTCTAAAAGTTTTGGTAGTGGCTGGTTCTACCTGCCCTCATTAAGCCTGGAGAAAAAACAGAATTAAAGTGAATTTCTTTTACATGAAGCAAAAAGTGGCACTGTCAGCTGCTGGAGAGCACTAAGTTCTTCAGCCAGGGAGGATCTGTGAACATGTACAAAAATATTTGTGAGCAAACTATGAAGCCTGTGACAAAAGCCAGAGAGGTTTAAGCTGTGCTGCCCTTCACAGAAGGCCTCTTCTGAGCAGAACTAGGTAACATCCCAACTAAACCATAACTGCCCGTGTCACTTGAAGCTGATGGAATTGAACCTGGGAGGGAAACCATGCAGTGGGAGGGAACCTTTGATCATTCATTTAGCCTGTAGTTCCTTGGTACCTGCTACAGCCAAAGCACTCCACCAGGCAGCCAAGGGGATGGCCATTTTAGAAGTGTGCACAGCAATGAGGAGAGTCAGCAAAGCCATGTCAGGTTGCTCTAGACCCTCATCCAATTGAGGTCTGAAAATCTCCAAAGATGGAGCTTTCGTACACTTCTTGGGCTACCTGTGCCAGTGCTTAACCCACTCCACTGTGAAATCCTTCTCTGTAGGTGGAGGAGTTTGTCTAAAATGCCACCATTATACTTTGCTCCCTAACTTGATGTGTGGAGACTCCAGGCCATCAGGAAAACCTCACAGTAGAACCACAAAGGGAGCCTGCAATGCAGTTATGCACTGGCACAGAGGCTGGAGGGGCCCAGGGGTCTGGAGATGACAAAAGGCAGGTAACTGGCTGGACCTTGTCTTTGTTTCCCTGTGCCAAGTGTGCTGCCAATCACGTGTGCCATGAACATTAGGTAATGGTCTGGAAAAGCCTTCCCTCCAGAGGCATGATCTGTGTTCCTGGTCTCTGCTGCTGTGCAGCCACTCAGCTCTTCTTCCTCTTCCTTAGCTTTGTGAGCCTGGGACTGTAGAGAAGTCAGCCCAGTAAGGGCTGCAAGGAGCAGCCACCCTCCTGCTCAGGTCTCCAGCGTGGTGTACAGCAGCTCTGTGCAGTGCTGAAGGCAGAAGCAGGGCACAGATGCTGAGCAGCAGGTGTGGTACAGCACAGAGAGAGGGGGCCTGAGGGGAGTCACAATGCTGAAAGCAACAGTTGCCCCTCTTTATCTCCTGGGCAAGCTGAGCCTCAATGACTTTATGTGCTTTTACAATTTAAGGTACAGGGAAATCCACATTTAGAAAGTGGCAATAGGAGGAATTTAGCTAATGCCACCCTATCTGCATCCACTCTGCTTAAAGAGTACAGGGGGCCTTGCTTTCCTCTGACAAATGGGTGAAGGGAGAGGCCAGGGACTGTATTCAGTTTATTCTCCTGCTTTGAGAGGCTTAGTTATAGTAGGGCTGAGAGCCAAATGCAACTCTGTCTTGAGCCGCTCCTTCTCCTCCCCCACTAAAGAATGATCTTGAAGCTCTGGACCCTCATCTCCACCCAAAATGACTGCCCTGATTTATTTTATGCTTTTTTGTTGTTTCCTTTTAAATCACTCCTAAGTTAAGCTTTTGTTTGCCAAGTTTTCAGCCCGGAGCAAATTTTTGCAGTCGAATTATAACCTCCTCTCCTTCCCCTTGAAAAAGAGGTGTTTTTCTGGATATGCTGCTGTCCCACCCATTACTCACCTTGCTGCTGGGAGGCAGGGGAGATGGCAATCTTTTTAAATATCAGCATCTCAAAGTTCAGTGTCACAGGCATGGGCACACATCTGGTTAAACCATTTCCCTCATATCTTGGCTCAAAATCCTTGGCTGAGACATCTCATGGCAGTAGACGTGTCCAGGGAGCTGAGAGGGAGGGAATAAAGGACACAGAGTGGTTAGGTTTCTCAGAAAGGGAATGGCTGTGGGCTGGAATATAAAGAAATGCCAGGAGCAGACAGTCTGCTCTCTCAGCACGTTACAGGGCTCTGGCTCTTCAGGGCACAGTGACGCTCACCCACGCTTGGGAAGGCTCCTCTGAAGCACAGGCTCCAGAAAGCAGGACACTGCTGAGGCCAGTGCCTTCCTCTGAAGGGGCAAATGGGAGATGGGCTGGAAAGGTGCTCTGACCTGGAGCCTGAGAGGGACTTGGAATCTTCTTTTCCTCAGGGATTTTGGTTTCCCAACTTAGAACCCAGTGAAAGCCTGAAAATCCCTGCTCAGCTGCCAGTGAATTCCCAATGCTGATTTTGAAGCCAGGAAAGTTCTGGAGAAGATGTTTTAAAGCAAGCAACTTCATCTCCCCAACTGCCTCCCTTACCAGTGGGATCCATTCCCCCTCACTTACTCAGAGCATGCCTAAAAATGTTATCTGTGGTCTGGGACAGGGTGTGGGAGGGTGAAATAGGAAGGGAATAAGATCAACCAGCATTCAGCACAACAAAAAGGCCAATTCTGGTTTGAGCTTCCCTGCAAAGCTGGAGCTGGACCCAGGACTAACTCTGAACTTGGTGACATCCTCAGACATGAAAAGCCACACAAGATGGTGCATCTCCCATCCTGAGAAGGTCCAGTGGTAAGAAAACTACAGGGTAAAATGTATTTCTCTTGTTTTCTATGTGACTTACAGTCTAAGTGGGGGACAGTAAGAGGAGCCTCTTCCTATAGGCAAGCTCCCTGCTGCATGTGAGCTCCCACTGTCCAGGAGTCACAGAAGCTGAGGACAAAGAGGGACTTTCTGCTCCATCCATCTGCCTGCCCCAAGGCAGGTCAGCTCAGTCTGCCATCCTTGACTGAAATTTTTATACTGTGTTCTAAATATTTCCTTCACAGACCCCACAGGCACCTTTGCACTTCATTCCAGGGCTTCATTATATTTACTGCTATAACATTTTTTTCTAATGTCTTGCTGTAGTTAAAAACCATGAAATTTTGTCCTATATGCCCTCGATATGGAGAACAAATTACACCCATTCTCCTTGTATTACTTGTATTGTCCCTGCAGCCCTTTGCTACTTCACGATGTTATCACATTTCTCCCTCACTCTTCTCGTTTCAAAGCCTCGGGCTCTCTCAGTTCTCCTCCTCTAGACCTCCTAGATCCTCTTCTCGTACCTTAAGGCAAGTGCCAAGCTTGCTATGTGAGAGAGAATGGCACAGCCCCATACTTTGGGGGCAGGGACTGAAGTGTAACTACGTGCCAGATCATCTCCAATAATTGAGCCAGATCACAAATTTCTTCTTTCCACGGACTTTGCTGCAGTGCTACAGTTCACCCTTTTCCCCAGTTGAGATTATCAATTAGTCTGCAGGCTATGTTCCACATGGCCTGGAAAAAAATCAGCTTAGAAATATGGAGAGCTGTTTTCAACTAGGATATTTCCAGGGATCTGTGAGAGCTTCTGGAGCTGCTTTCACCTCCCAAGTCAGCTTATCACAACTACCCTCTAACAGGCATTTTGCAAGTGTAGTTACAGAATCTCAGCATCACTGAGACTGGAGGCACCTCTGGAGATCATCTGGTCCAATCCCCTTGCTCAAGACAGGCTCAACTGTAGCATGTTTCCCAGTACATGTCCACAGGGATTGTGGATTATCTCTGAGGATGGAGACTGCACAGCCTCTCTGGACAACCTGCTCCTATATTCAAACACCCTCATAGTAGAAATCATCAAGAGTCTGTCTCCTTCCTCTTTATTCCTGCCATCAACTATTTACACACACCAGCTAACCATATCCAACCCCCAAAACCCTTTTATCTTTTATCTCCTCCACATATCTTTTTCCCATTAATACCTGCTCTGGTCAGTAAAGCAGATTCCAGTTTTAGGGAGCTGCCAGGGAAACATACAGAGCAAACAACCACTCAGGTGTGCCCAAGTGTTTGCTCCTGTTCTGATCATACCTACATGACCAAACCTTGTCGTACTTCCCAGTGATGAAGACACAAGGATGCTGGTACCAGAGGTATCCGAGGCAGCATCAAAAAACAGAGGATGAGGAACTGCTCTACTAGTCTTCTGTATCACAATCTTGACATTCATTTAAAAAGCTCCCTCCCCAATCCCCCCATCATGTTGAGAAGCCTGAAGGGTGATAAATACTTAAAAGCCCAAGTGTGGGGAATCTTGTGATGCCTGCCTGGATGTGCAGGCAGCCTGAGAAGCATGAACAGTTGACATCTCAACATATCTAAGAACCACAGTTCTGGAAAGGGTAAGAGAGCAGCAGCCCAGTATCTTTCCCAAAATACTGTATTTCTTACCCAGCCTCCAAACTACTATCCTGGCTTTTGGGAAGGACTACGGTACAGAGAAGACAGAGAAAAAACCTCTGCTCCTCCCTCTGCTCTCATCTGTGTGCCAAGATCCCAAATTGCACTAATTTGGCCTTGCCAGAATTCTCAAGGAAACAATTACATGGGTCTCTGCCCTTGGGACTTTACATTCAAAGTCTCCAACCCTTCCAAGACGTAGGCACTTGCCTGGCTCCCAGTGCTCCCATCAACATGATATGGATGGGCTGCAGGCAAAGCAGGGCTGGGACACCCATCCTTTGCTCTGTTAGGGAGCAGAGGATCACAAAGCTCTCCTTCTCCACCAGGTGAAAAACTTTACAAGCCATGGACACTTGTGACCTTCCCCCTTGTCTAAAGCCTGATTTTTCCCTGGAATATTTATCTTTCCTACATTTCCCCTCAGTAATAACCTAATCAAGTAGAATTCTTCTGGTATTAATTGGATGAGCAGGAGAGCCCTTTGTGGTTAGTATTATCAATGAGGATGTCAGGAAGGCTTTGACAGGATTACCCCTGGAATTTGCCATTTATTAACTAGACCATCAGCTAAAACGGCACGGCTGGGGTGGGGCTGGTTTTGTTTTGCACACTGGAGATGGGCTGGCTGAGGGTGGGGAAGCTGAGGGTGGTGGAGCTCTGTCTCCATCTGATTCAGGGATCTCGAACAGCTGCCCTGGCAGCCCCGAGATATCTTTCCCCATCTGTGCGTCTTTCTTTGCTTTCATCATCTCTTCCCATTATTGGGAAACCATCACAACCTGGAGCCTGAGCCGGGAGAGCTTGCACCACCCCGCGTAGGCTTGTGGTCCTGAGCTGGGAGAACGGGAACAAAACCCCGCTGTCCCAGGCTGTTCTGCCCTGGGAGAGAAACGCTCTGAGCCCCTGCCCAGGGCACCAGGGAGGGGAAACTGGGTGAAGAAATAGAGGCATATTAGACTTGCAGAAGCAGCTGGGGTGCAAAGTAGGCACACACAAAAAGTTTAGGTGAGGGTAACAAACCAAAAAATTCTTCAAAAAAATTTGTTTTCTCTCCATGAAATTTAGTGCTCCTGTTCACCCTGAACAGCAGATGGATAAACATGGTCAGCAATGGAAGAATACAAACACTAAAGAGGAAACAATTGTAAAAATATAGTTGCAACACCCTTCCCCTCCAAGCAGGTTTCTATCCTAAATTCCAGAGGCACTAGGCATCATTTGCTGTGAGCTCCAGGCAACTTTCCATGGGCTATTGCTGGAGGGAACTTTTGCAAGCTTCCGTCTCAAAGAAAGAGCACTGCACCAGAACAGAGACACTCAGCACCAGGAGTCACTGGGCCACAATGCAAAGGGCCAAAGAGTGAAGAAAACAGCCCTAACACGTGGCAGGACATGTCTTTATTCATTCCTCATTGAGGTAGGAGCAGGGACATAAAATAAGGCCTCTAATCAGGGCCCTTTATTTGGCAGCACACCTCAGGAAAGGTGGCAGGGACCCCCTCTGACTGCCACCCCACACAATGGCAGAAAAGGAGTCTCCAATCCTTGAGCAAGTGGAGCACAGAGAATATTTCTGTAATTTCATCCACTCTCCCTTGAAATGTGGCACTTATGCAAAGGAAGGCCTGCAAAAGGAGGCCCTTGAAATCTCAGTAAAATCTGTAATTTGTAGATTTCCTAGATCATTAGGCATTAGCCTTTTACCATTTATTCAGCACAAATAGAATTAACTGAAAATTCAACAGCTACCCTATAACTTCTCACATTGCCTATGGAAAAACCTATCAACTTCTGTCTCTAAGTCTAGGTGTGAAATTCCTCCTTCTCAATTTGTTCCAGCAATTGCTCTGATGAGGGAACATCCCAGAAAAGGTATTTCTTCACCAGGTACTTTGCAAAAGTCTGGCACTGAACCCAAATTCCCTGTACCAAAGTAATCTTCTTCACCTTAAGCAGATCACTCAGTCTTCATTTAGAAAGAGGGTTATAGGTTCTCCTTGGGGCAGCCTGCTCCAAAAAGGTCCACCCAAAGGATAAGTGAAAAGCCAAAAAAATGTCAACAAAAAATAGAGACTGAACGTAGCAAAACTGCTGCTGATATTCAGGAGCAGAAACCACATGCCTCTTGCCTGAACAATTTCCAAACCATAAATGATGTTTAATGTGGAAAAAGTTGTAAACGTATAAAAGTTACTTCTAAAACCAAAAACACAGAGTTTCTTACTCATGGCTTTGATGAATGGAGTGTTTTGTGTTCTGGCGTCACGCTTGGCGCTCCAAAGGACCTTTCTGCTGGGTGGAAATTCATGGCACTGCAAGTCCACTGCCTGTGCAGCAGACTGGGAAGTGTCCTTCGGCATCCCAGCACAGGCTGCTTCTGTTGACAGCTCAGCAAGGTGGAACACGTTCCCCTTCCACCAGTCGTGTGTCACAAGAAAGGGTTAAATGATACTAAAAAGACTTGAAATGCTGCTGTGCATTATGATCTTTTGTGCTCTCCATTCCTACCTGTCTTTCAGCTACTGTCCAATTCAGCAAGAAACAATGTGTGAATAAATCATGCACCAGCCAGAAGTGGCTCCCATAAGGT